CTGTGATCCGTCCCAGCCATTCCTCGGGGTCCATGGGTTCATCTTCATCACTAGTGGTGCCGGCCACCTGCTCCTCCTCTTCCTGCTGGCTTTTGTTTTTGAACGCGCTGGATGGGCGCATGAACTGCCTGCTGATCGCGATGGCGATGTTCCGGTATGCTGCCAGGTTCAACCCCTGACCATGTAGCCCGATGCGGGTCTCCCGTTTCAACACCTCCCGGAAACGCTCGGACGTCCAGGCCCGCCCGTCGGGGTCTCCTCCCCACATGTATGCCCCCCGTTGGTTGGCGTTCTCCTCTTCTGGATTTCCCTCTTCCTCTCGGATCCGTCGTCGATACTCCTGCAGCCGCTGGGCGAATGGGAGCACCAGCCATAAATACCACACCACCAGTTCCCCGACCTCCCTTGGCAGATACCGGTGGATCACCTTGATGTCGTTGGATGCATGAAACCCCTTGTGGTACCGCGTGACGAACACCACCATCCCATCCTCTATGAATATGTTGCGGTGGCCCCCGTTCTCGGTGTTGATGTGTCGGACGCTGAGCAGCTCGGGCGCCCGTGCCGGTTGGCCCGCCGTGACATGCACCGCCACGCTCAGCTTCTCCCGGAATCTCACCACCCAGCGCAGGTATGCGTTGATCGCCTTGATTGCCAAACGGGGCCGGTCGCTGTGCTCTCGCTGGATGAACCGCCGCTGCATCCCGGGCTGTATGCGCATCTGCTGCATCAACCACTGTGCCCCATCCACCGGCCACCGCGTGCGGCTGTCCTTTAAAAAATTCCACCCCGTCCCTCCCTGGGTGGGGTCATCCCGCATCGTGGACCATGGGATGGCTGGTGGCTGCTGTCCATTCAGCTCATTCTCAAACAACAACTCCTCCCGCAGGATCCGCCTCGTCGCTCCCACCAGCCCGTGTGTGAAGCCCCGGAAGTCGCCCATGGTGAAGTGCATGTCCTTGTACAGCAGCTCATCCCCTCCCATCCAGCCGACGTGGCCGGGTGTGGTGTTGCTGTAGTGCACCTTCAATCCATACGTGCGCAGGTCCAGCATCCACTGCATGGGACTGTGTGTGCCGCGGACCATGAATGCCTCCATGAACAGCTCAAGCCATTCCTGAAACGATCGCTGCTTTCTGTTGTTTGAAGTTGACCCGCCGATGGATATCATGGCCGGGGGATCATCGCTGCGTGGGGACGATGTGGGCGGTGATGATGGGGGGTTGGAACTGGCACTGGTCCTGCCGCTGTCACTTTCATACCCTTCATTCTGGTTGCCTGTGAACGTGTAATCCGCCTCCTCCATGGGGCTCACCACGGCCCACTCTCCCACCATCTGGCTTGCTTGGTTCCTGGCCAGCATGTCGGATGCATTGGCGTCCAGTCGCAGCGCCTTGTGCACCACCATGAACCGTGCCACCTTGATGATCCGTGACAACATTGGTGGGTAGCTCTCCGCGTCGCACCATCCATACTCCCCCCGTCCCAGCACCGCCAACGCGTCTACCAGCGCGCACTCATAATCCTCCACCTGAACCCGCTGGTTCAGCAGCTCAATGCAAAAATCCAAACATGCCATCTGCATCTTGGTTAATTTGAACTTATCTTCTTCTTCTGGCTGGGTATCTCTCTGTCCCTTCTCCTCCTCCTCTTCTTCTTCCTCAGTCATCTGCTCATCCATGGGGTCTGGGCTGATGGGGTGTCGCTGGTCGGCTCCCTCTGTGGTGGCTACCTGCCATAATACCCTCCATGTCTTGCGCTGCCGTGGTGTGAACCGGTACTGTGGGCTCGTCCATTCATGCTCGACCTGCGTTCGGGCGAAAAACATCAACATCTGCTGCCATGGCCTCACGTGCTCGGCGATGCTCTCCTCGTCCATGTATGCCTGCAACGGGGTGTGCCGGGTCTGGTGTCGCTCTGTGCGGATGGCCTCGATGCGGACGAAGTGACCCAGCCGTGTGATGACTCGCTGGCTGGTACGGGCAACCTGACCCATGGCCTCCCAGATGGCCCTCGCGGCCAGTTCATCTGGGCACGTGGTGTCATCGTCGGGCCGCTGGACGCAGTTGACCAGATCATTGGGTGCGATGTTGGTCAAGTACACCGGCCATCTGGTCCGCCGCAGCCATGGATTGGCTTCATCGTGCTCCCCGGCCTGGATGACATTGCTGGTCTGCCGTTGCTGTTCCTGGTAAAACCGCTCCAGCTCATCAATGACCTGGCTGGCTCTGTTCTGGTCTGGCGTGCCGGTGTGCTCAGTAGTCTCCTTAGTCTGGATCTGTATGTAGTGGGAGCCCTTGCGCGATGCAAATACCTGCTGGAACTGCACCTTCTGGCATGATCTGTCCACCTCATCCTGTAGCCATCTTGAATGGGTAGTTCCGGGATTGGTTCATTCAGTATTGTGGGCAGTGTTAACTGTGTAGTATCTCGAGCCACATTGTCCCACTGTTCAATGTTCTCCTTTATCTGCTGAACCACCGCATGCTTTAGCTGATGGGCCTTGCCTTTCAGATGCTGTTCAATCTCTGTTGGCCACACAGCGTGCTTGCACCGGCGGCATATGATACTGAGGTATGATTCACAGTGGATAAATAATTGATGTTCCATGTCGATGTTGGGTCTGTCTTGTGCATTGAATATATATATATTTCCTTCATTCAGTGTCTTTGTGTGAAACTTGACAGATCTGATCTGGTGTGAATGTTTGTTTTTCTGTGTTTAAAATCACTCCAGAATGAAGCCTTTCAGTTTTTTTATATATTTTGCTATTTTTATTTACTTTGTTGATCTAGTAACCCTAACCGCTCCGTTGCCTGGGTGAAAATATAGATATTTAGTTGGGTCTGGTTGGGTTGATGGCTTACCCCATCAAACATCGCACCTCAACTCATTGACTTTGACACCACAATGTAACCCCTTCCCGGCGGAATTATCGCTTTTGATTTGGATATGTTGTATTTCATATCCACTACGGCCTACATGCAAAGTTTGAAGTCAATTGACTGCGTGGTTGATTGGACGTTCAACGTCTGAAACCAAATGGAATGTACGTCCAATCTGCCCTGCTCTGATTGGTCGGTTTTCTAACCCTGAATGGAATGGACGTCCATTCCACCCCCACCTGTTGGATAGTGCTTGTACATGGTCCGTATAGTTCCTCCAACATACTGACATTCAGATTGCCGCCAACACATGTAGCCCTTGTGGATGAGCAGCTCATGTATTGGTTTGTTCAATTCCGTGGACAATATCAACCGGCCGAGATCATGCGCGATATGATCCCACCGTTGAATTATCTGCTTGATACTCTGTGTGGCTGTATACTCTAACTGATGAGTTGAACCCTTCAAATGCCGTTCGATTTCTGTTGGCCATACTGCATACTTGCATTGACGGCATATGATGATGGGGTATGATTCACACTGAATGAAAAATTGATGTTCCATCTTAATGAAGTCAGTGTATTCTTGAGTTGATATATATATATATATATATATATTCTTTGAAAATGAAGTATAAACACACTTCACTCGACAATGATAATTTGCTCTAAATTTAAGTTTTGTAATGCTTCTAAGCAATTGCAGATCAATACTTAAATGTATGATGTTAATTTCTGTCTGATTGTTATTTCGCTGATCTGTGACCGTTTTGATGATGGTAGTTGCCCTGGGGCGAAATATATATATTTAATATTGATAACTCTGCAAAACAACTTATCTACTTTAATGTTGTAATAATATGATTTTCTGATGAAATTATGTCTTGAAATTAAATATCATACTCTGTATATATAATATAACTGGCTACTGAAGTTTAAGGTCTGGTTGTGATGAGTTGTCTATGAAAATATAATATTATACATTTTATAACGGAGGTGAAAGGCTGATTTGTATTGAAATTTATAAAGATGACAGCTAGCTGCTGAAGTTGGAAATCTGGTCATAATGAATTGCATGAGAAAAATATATATCTTTAATCATTTATAGCTCTATGTTGTCATCTATTTCTACTGTTACATATGATGGCTGCTGTTTTTGAGCTTTTCTGCTAACGCTCTTTTCCATGTTCCGTGCCCGCTTTCGCACCCCTGGGCCTGGGTTAAACCCCAGGAATTCATGATTGCATGAGAAAAATATATATCTTTAATCATTTATAGCTCTATGTTATCATCTATTTCTACTTACTGTTACATATGATGGCTGCTGTTTTTGAGCTTTTCTGCTAACGCTCTTTTCCATGTTCCGTGCCCGCTTTCGCACCCCTGGGCCTGGGTTAAACCCCAGGAATTCATGATTGCATGAGAAAAATATATATCTTTAATCATTTATAGCTCTATGTTGTCATCTATTTCTACTGTTACATATGATGGCTGCTGTTTTTGAGCCTTTCTGCTAACGCTGTTTTCCATGTTCCGTGCCCGCTTTCGCACCCCTGGGCCTGGGTTAAACCCCAGGAATTCATGATTGCATGAGAAAAATATATATCTTTAATCATTTATAGCTCTATGTTATCATCTATTTCTACTGTTACATATGATGGCTGCTGTTTTTGAGCTTTTCTGCTAACGCTCTTTTCCATGTTCCGTGCCCGCTTTCGCACCCCTGGGCCTGGGTTAAACCCCAGGAATTCATGATTGCATGAGAAAAATATATATCTTTAATCATTTATAGCTCTATGTTGTCATCTATTTCTACTGTTACATATGATGGCTGCTGTTTTTGAGCCTTTCTGCTAACGCTGTTTTCCATGTTCCGTGCCCGCTTTCGCACCCCTGGGCCTGGGTTAAACCCCAGGAATTCATGATTGCATGAGAAAAATATATATCTTTAATCATTTATAGCTCTATGTTATCATCTATTTCTACTGTTACATATGATGGCTGCTGTTTTTGAGCTTTTCTGCTAACGCTCTTTTCCATGTTCCGTGCCCGCTTTCGCACCCCTGGGCCTGGGTTAAACCCCAGGAATTCATGATTGCATGAGAAAAATATATATCTTTAATCATTTATAGCTCTATGTTGTCATCTATTTCTACTGTTACATATGATGGCTGCTGTTTTTGAGCCTTTCTGCTAACGCTGTTTTCCATGTTCCGTGCCCGCTTTCGCACCCCTGGGCCTGGGTTAAACCCCAGGAATTCATGCCACTCCCGGCTGACAGCCTGGTACCGCACACGCCGTGCCTCAATGTGGCCCGGTGCCTCCTGCAGCCCCCGCGCATATACTGTACCTGCAGCCCAGGATCCATGGCCTGCCTGCTGGTCTACTGCCGAATCATCTGCCCCATATTCCCGCTTGAACCCTCCACAGGACAGGTGCATACGCGAGATGGCAATGGCGGCATGCCGCCAAGTGATTACATTGAGCTTGGTCTGGAGGTGTGTCTTTGCCTCGCGCTGAAGCACCACCCGCAGCCGGCTGCTGTCCCACGGTCCATGCCCCCGCGGCCAGAGAAATGGTGACCGCAGCCCCCCTTGGCTATCACTGTCTCCATATGCAAGCCGCTGGACCGCCCGCGCGAAAGGTAGAATCAGCCAGAGGTAGTACACCACCAGCTCACTGACCTCTGCTGGCAGATAGCGGTGGATGATCTTTGTGGAGTTGGTCATGCTGTAGCCTTTGTGATAGGTTGTCACCATGCTCACCAGCCCATGTTCAATAAAAATGCTGCGGTGGCGGCCGCAGACCGTGTTACTGTGCCGTATGCTGAGCAGCTCTGTGGCCCGCGCAGGCTGGCCCCCAGTGAGATGAACCACAAGAAGCAGCTGCTCAAGAAATCCATCCACCTGCTGCAGATAGTCATCTACCACTGCTGTGTCCCAGACCACCTGATGATCAGATGGCCGTACAGCTACCCACTCTGCCCGGAGCCTGTCTGTTGTGAGGACTCGGTCCAGCAGCCATCGCTCCCCTGTGGTTGGAAGGGCCTTGCAGTTCTGCGGTGCTCGAAGGAAGTTCCAGCCGCGCTGATTGTTTGTAGGGCTGTCCGCCAGCTGGGCCAGCGCCAGGCGTGGCACTACCACCTCCCGTGCTTCCTCTTCATGAACAAGAAAGAGCTGCTCAAGCTTGTGCTGTGTCAGCTCCACCTGCGTGCGCACGAAGCGCCGGAGCCCTGCTATGCTTAGATGCAGCTCTCTGTAGCTTAGAGTCTGCTGGTCATCGCTCCAGTAGACATACCCTAGACTCGTGGTGGTGTTCTGCACTCGCTTGCCGAATGTCCGCAGCCGGGTCACCCAGCCAAAGGGGGCAGCCACTCCTGGGAGGAGGAAGCGTTCACGCATGGCATCCAGCGCATCTGCAGGGTGCTCCACCTGCCCATCCTCGGCCATCTGAACTGCCTGCTGTACCACCAGCATCTGTGCCATCTTCACGAGCCCGGAGAGGTAGCCTGTGTAGCCATATGGGTCCCGGAACGTCCGCTTCGTGGCATCCACCCCAAGCACGGCCAGAAAGCCAACCAGCGGACTCTCGAAGATGTCCCCCTTCAGGGGGTGGTCCAGCAGGGCGATGGAGAGGTCTAGGCAGGCCTGATCCAGCCTCCTGCTAACCTCCTCGCCTGCCTGGCCCTGCCGGCTGCCCTGGCGGAGCAGGTCTCTTGCGGAGGCCTCCATCGAATCAAGGGCTGCCAGCTGGGCGGTGGTGAACTGGTGGCTGAGCTCCACTGGCTCGGGCCCCGCGCCTGCGGGAGGCCGACTGGTTCGGAAGGCAAAGCATACCAGCCGCTGCCACACCTGCCGGTAGGCGCGGTAGGTCGACGGCTTAAGCTCAATCAGGATCGGCCGCTCCCACACCCGCGGCCGCTGGAGGAAGCTGCTGATGCGCACCTGGCCAGACATGTCTGGTTAGCCATGATCTCCCAGCCAGACCAGAGAGAGGGGGGTGTTAAGATGAGATGAGGGAGAGGGGGGATGAACAGCAGCAGTCCTGTACATGCCTGGTCAAACTCATTGATCCGCCGCTCCTTGATTGAAGTGTATGCTGCCTGGATCAGCCGCTCCACGCTGTCCGTGAAGGCAACCAGTAATGGCTCGTGCGTGGGGTCAGGCAACATCCCCAGCCGGGCCACAGCGGTGAAGTCCCGCCCACGCAGGTACTCAGGCCAGCGTGTAAGCTCCAGCCACGGTGACACCTCTGTGCCGTCTTTGAAGGCGGGGTCCGGCACCAGCTGCTCGGCCGCGGTGGTCACTCCTGCATCCCGCGCCAGTGCCCCTGCGACCTGGCTGCGGATGAAGTCCACCTCGCTCATCCTTGCCGCCTGGCTTGCCCGCTGTGTCTGTGCGGCCGGGGTCACCTGGAAGAAGCTGCTGCCTGCCGCAGACGGGAAGAAACGCTGGCAGCTTACCACCAGAGGCTGGGTGGAGATCGGGGCCAGCCTCGTCGGTCGCCGCCCCCGGCCGGGCCGCGGTATCTCGGGGTGGGCCTTCGGTTGGTGTTTTGACACGGCACCCAGGGTGCGGGACACGTACGGGCAGTGCGGGCAGCGGTAGCCCCGGTAGACAGGCAGTCCGGGGACTGGAGCACTCTCGGGAGGCGGTGGGCAACAGGGTTCCTGAGTGCGGTCAAACACCGGCTCCAGCTGGTCCTGCATCATCGCAGCCACTGCGGCCTCCCGGAGACCTGCCGTCGCGGCCGAGGGATGGTTGCGGTGCCGCTTAGCCAGGTGGGTGAGGACATTCGCAACAGCAACAGCAAATCCACATGGGCGGCAGATCCACAGGCGGTGGGACCTATTATAAATAAAGAGATCCATTCTCACAGTAAATCTCTCATCAAGGTTGGCTGTCTGTCAATATTTGAAAGAGTATAATATTTTAAAAGAGGTCGGTCAGAGAGAGATCAGAAGAAAGAGCAAAAGACAAGACATAAGAGAGAGAAAGAAAGAAAAAAAAAAAAACGGTCATGGCATGAACGCGTCAATATATAAATAAATGCATTAATGTGGAGACGCGTGGATGCGCGAGCGCGACCGGGGGCCACGGGCACCGCGACGCGGGCCACTGCGGGCACGCGGCGGCGGGAGCGGGAGCACGCACGGGCGGCCAATCAGGGCGGGAGAAGATCGGACGGGGGCGCGTCGGACGGCGCACTAGGGTATAGATCATTGGGTGCGATGTTGGTCAAGTACACCGGCCATCTGGTCCGCCGCAGCCATGGGTTGGCTTCATCGTGCTCCCCGGCCTGGATGACATTGCTGGTCTGCCGTTGCTGTTCCTGGTAAAACCGCTCCAGCTCATCAATGACCTGGCTGGCTCTGTTCTGGTCTGGCGTGCCGGTGTGCTCAGTAGTCTCCTTAGTCTGGATCTGTATGTAGTGGGAGCCCTTGCGCGATGCAAATACCTGCTGGAACTGCACCTTCTGGCATGATCTGTCCACCTCATCCTGTGCTGCCGTACGCTTTTGTGGCGCTGTACGGCCACGGCTGGGATATGGCGACCAGCTGTGCTTGTTCTGCCAGTGCTTGCGCATGGTGTTCATGTTCCCTGCCACATACTGGCACTGGGGATCCCGCTGGCACCTGTAGCCATCATGAATGGGTAGTTCCGGGATTGGTTCATTCAGTATTGTGGGCAGTGTTAACTGTGTAGTATCTCGAGCCACATTGTCCCACTGTTCAATGTTCTCCTTTATCTGCTGAACCACCGCATGCTTTAGCTGATGGGCCTTGCCTTTCAGATGCCGTTCAATCTCGGTTGGCCACACAGCGTGCTTGCACCGGCGGCATATGATAATGAGGTATGATTCACAGTGGATAAATAATTGATGTTCCATGTCGATGCTGGGTCTGTCTTGTGCATTGAATATATATATATTTCCTTCATTCAGTGTCTTTGTGTGAAACTTGACAGATCTGATCTGGTGTGAATGTTTGTTTTTCTGTGGTTAAAATCACTCCAGGATGAAGCCTTTCAGTTTTCTTATATGTTTTGCTATTTTTATTTACTTTGTTGATCCTGCACCGCTTTGCACCGCTCCGTTGCCTGGGTGAAAATATATATATTTAGTTGGGTCTGGTTGGGTTGGTGGCTTACCCCATCAAACATCGCACCTCAGGTATAGGGAGCTCGACCGCGACCGGGCCACTGCGGGCACGCGGAGGCGGGAGCGGGAGCACGCACGGGCGGCCAATCAGGGAGGGGTATAGATCAAAAGACACCATCGATATCAGTCCTAACTAGCGCCGGTGGCGTGAAGCCGAGATTTTTCATGAATTGGACTCAGTGAGCGTAAATTTCGACAGCTTGATCCTTGGTATGTAAAAAATAGATCCATCTGTAACGGGTGGCGTCATCAGTGATGAGCATATAATATTTGGTCCTTTGACGAGATTCGATAGGGTAATCAGACATGTCATCCAGCGTACGACCACCGTCAGCAAGGTCAATATGAACACGTTGCATTGCTCACAACACTCGTGGCATGGGAGTTTGTGAGAACTTGCGTGTCATGCCTGCTTTGACGCAGCTATTGCAGAAGAAGCCTGTTTTAGATTCTTTGATGCAGATGCTGGATGACGGGTCCTTCACTAGTGCAATGATCGCGCCAGCGTGGATATGCCCTAGTGTGACATGCCATTCCATGAGTGTTCTTGTCAGGGGGTTGCGATCGCTAGGTTGATCGTTAGGTTTCCCCGCGATTGTCGACATTGCGTCCCTGTAATTGTAAGATTTGGCCATAAAATGGACGGTCTGGGACGGGTGATGGACATCTATTTGGGATTCTCATTCTATTATCTTGTAGACCGATTCTTTGGACGTGTGAACAGCGGTGAAGTTGGCACTGTTCAGGGCTCTTATTGTAAAATAGAAAGGGGTGGTATCTGATAGTTGATATCTGAAGCCTTGATCTTCTAGCTTCGCGAAGGATAGAAGGTTGACAGTTAGATTGAGAATTCAGTGGACGTGACCAACTGGGATATCCCCCTCTTCTGATTCAAGAAGAATATCACCTATCTCCTCAACCCATTCTACACCACCGTCCGCGGTAGTAATTTGTAAATCGCCCTCGAACGACTTCGCGCGCACCAACGAGTGCCTTTGCCCGTCATATTAAAGCTTGCGCAGGTGTCGAGATACCAAGGTTTGAATGTTGTAGCGGACGACGCGGATAAAGCAATTGCTGTGTTAGCACTAGGTTGGGAGGCAAGAAGATCTGGTGCTTTGATGCCAGTAGGTTTGTTGTCATCCTTGTCCTTCTTCTTATCCTTTCCCTTCTTTTTGGCACCTTCAGTGTTGTCAGTGCCCTTATTATCCTTATTCTCTTTCCTCCACCACTCAGGTGCTTTGTCAGGGTTCAGATGATAGCAATTAGCCTTCATATGCTCTGGAATCTTGCAGTATCCGCACTTTGCGGTTGCGGTGGAAGTTGTGTTGTCATTATCATTGGTGGCCGCGTTGGCCTTTGGAGGTTTAGGGCGTCCAGTACCCTCTGACTTACTCATTCAATGAGCAATTTGTTTTGTGAGATTGTTGATATCTAAGTTGACAATCGGACCCTGACCCGTCCTGTAGAATGTATCAAGGCGTGATTTAACATAGATCCTCTGATAATCTCGGAGGCCGATAATAAAGAAATCATGGAAGTAGTTCTCACCGCGGTCCTCCGTTAGTTGTCGCATGCGAGCAGACAGGTATTGATATCGGCGTATGTACGCCAGGTAATCACCGTCCTTGACATGCAAGTGGGTAAATTCTTTAAGGATGTTAATCCTTTCTTGCTCTAGGGATATCGCATATGCTGCGCTTACCTTGTTCCATAGGGCTGCCGCGTTGTCGGGTTGAATGGATCCCATGGTCAAACGGACAGAACCTACCAGGGATTGCAACATGAGATGAAAGAGAAGTTTTGAATGTATCACCCAATATCACTGATCAAGTGATGATAAACCTTCAGGTGGTTTCTGTTGGTTCTTATTAAGAATATCTGCACCACCGATCACTTCTGCATCCGACAAGAACGCCATCTTCCACATCTGATAGTTGGTGCCATTGAATGTGGTGACAGACTTTGTGTTCAACGAGGCCTGCGCTTCCTTCTGGTATTCGCGAGCCAGCATGTTCGGATCTTCTTCTGGTATAGGGTTCGGAGGAGGTGGAGGTGGTGGAGGAGGTGGAGGAGGTGGCGGCGCGCGTGCTGATATCAGTCACTCGCAGAGTGCAATTAGATCTGCTGCTGCCATGGTCACCATGCCGTTAGGATTCAGTGTAGGTATCGGCATAGGACTGGGCGTGCCATCCTCGGATTCCTCGCGTTCTGGCATCTTGCCAGTATCGCGTGCGGAGCCAGAGGTTGTCATGTCTTCCTCTGCCATCGCGTATTCAGTTTGATCACCCTCCACTTCTGAGCCGGATTCTTGCTCAATAACAGGGGGGAAGGATTGGGGGACCCTTGATTGTGAACGTAGTGTCTTCTTACGTCCTGATATGGGGGTCGGAGGTAATCGAGAACCACTCATAATCGGTATAGAAAGATTCTGTTAGAAATGAATAAATGAAATTTTTGGTCCCTTCAAGATAGCAATGAAATCTTTGCAGCAGTCTCGACAGTAATCCCGTCAATTACACTACTTTTATAGGAAAAGAGCTTTCTTTTCAGGGGAATAATGTCTAACTCATCCAATATAACGTCGGTCGCAGTGTACTCTAATTAAAATGTCTCATTTTATTTAAAAATCTGCTATCTGGGCCATAACCTGTGGGATGGTTAATCTTCTCATTGTGCGATCGCTAGCTAACTATATATAGGGGTAATCACGTGCGGTGGAGGGCTGTGGGAGGATAACGTTGTTGTCATTTCTAAAACTAACTACGCGAGAGCAATACAATATGTTGGGGGGCACGTGATAGGGTAGCCGAGAAACAGAACGAGCCCAACAGGTGTAGGTCAGATGATGAGTCACACGAGGTTCAGCCGATGTGTACTCCGTAGTCTCCTCCAACCCCAACGCAACTTCACAAAGCAGGAAGTTCTGGAGGAACAATTCCCCCAAAATTCTACCTAATTCTCCTACCATTGTAACATTTTTTTTTTTTTAATTCTTATTTTGGTGACTATATGGTTTCAACCTGTTCTCCATCGATTTAGCTTCGTATGTTCCCGGTTGGAGTTGCATCAACTTCTAGGCCAACTTGCCCCTCCACCATGTCTCCGCCTACCATTATCGCTCCCTCTATTCTTTCCGCGGATTTCGCTGCGCTTGGGGCGGCATGTTCCGACTTGATGAAATCAAACAGTGATTGGATTCATGTGGATATTATGGATGGCCATTTTGTTCCCAATATCACTTTTGGCGCCCCAGTTGTATCCAAAATCCGCAGACATGTAGCCCGACCTTCTAATCCTGGTGGAAAAGGCACTTTTGATTGCCATATGATGATTGCAGAGGTAATATTTTATTCTATCTCTTCCCCCCCCCCCCTCCCTCGTCCATCTGTTGGTGGTCCCGTTTTCTTCGTTACCAAACACTTTTCACCCACTTTTATATATTCACTAGATGGCGCGCTCATTTAGCAGGCTTGTTGACTTTCATGGATGTTACTTGGAAAAGAAAAAAAAAAAAAAAAAAAAAAAAAAAAAAAAAAGAGAGACTTCTGAAGGGTGGGCGGTGTATTATTGCAACATTCCACTTTGGGCCACCTCCATTCCTCTGTCCACTATTAGAGTTGTCAGCCATTTTCGAGCCTATTTTAATTTCTCTCCCTCTCCATGTTCCTTTGTTTCTTTTCTAATTCAGCCAAAGTAACCTACAATCGTTCGGGTGATCTCCTACTTTTGTATCTCATTTGTGTCAATTCGTCCTTATTCGTCCTTTTCCATTAATTAATTTGCTAACCCATGTCAATGAGAGCGGAGGGGTTGCTACGCGCCATAACCCTGGTCCAAACGGCTATGGCGGATAGGGTTGTGCCCAGCGCGAAGCGGCATTGAGGCCCCTCCTATTACCACGCATGATATGAATCCATATAGCCCCAGAAATGGGTGACGCAATTCAAAGGTGCAGGTTGTGACCTCTACTGTTTCCACTATGAAGCAGCCATGACGTCAACTGCCGCTAAGGACCCGACGGATACGTCGACCACCCGCCGCACCAGTCCGAGTGAGCTTATTCGGTATATCCATGAGAATGGTATGCAAGCTGGTATAGCTATCAAGCCAGATACTCCAGTGGATGTGTTGTGGGATATACTTGAACAGGAAGATCCCTTGGATAGACCTGATGTGAGTCTACCCTAAGCCTTTGGCCAGTCACAATATTGCGCATAAACTGTTCATAACAACAAAACTGCCGTGTTCGTTATTGGCTTTTGGGAATTGAATCGCAAATCTAATAAATTCTGATAAATAAACTAAACTGCTACAGATGGTGCTCGTTATGACGGTGTACCCCGGATTCGGCGGGCAGAAATTCATGGCTTCAGAATTACCCAAAGTAAATGCCCTGCGAGTCAAGTATCCCCATCTTAATATTGAAGTCGATGGAGGCCTCGGAGAGGACACCGTAGAACAGGCGGCAGAGGCTGGGGCCAACGTGATTGTTGCTGGGTCGGCTGTATTTGGCGCTCGGGATCCAGCTCAAGCAATTGCAACGCTCAGAGAAGCCGTCGAGAAACGGAGAAAATGAAAATAATAAATGGCAAAAAATGGGAAACGGAAAGGGAAATAAAATGGCAGTTGAGGAGGCTTTCGTTGTGCGGCTTGTAAAGGAGTCGACGAATCGATTATACAAGACCTTACTAAGAAGCTGATGGTGTATCATTGCCTCACACACAATTGTCCCAAGAGGTTTTGCTTCACCTTTGGAGCTTTCAGTGCGTGCGTTCTTCTCACTTAGGGGACCAATGTACCTTCTGTCATAAAAAATAACCCCACGCAATTAAACTGCATAATCAACCATAGTGGATTGTCTTCATCACTGGGGTATTTCCCTGCCACTTTAGCCTACTAAATAAGCGGCTGGTAAGATCCCATCTGTCATGTTCGTCAAACACAGTCTTTTGATGTTCCAGCGACTGTCACTTCTTCATCCTCTTTCTTATCAGTGTTTTGTTCATCGTCGCATGAGGCATGGAAACCTGATTCCTTTCTGGGATAACTCTCCTTCACCTTGACGTGTTCACCTGCAGGGGCGGCATCTGACTTCCCAGTTGTGCCTTCATCCCTAAGGGCAGCCCCCTGATGCAATGTACTAAGCTCCCTGACAAGTTGATTTTGCTCACTGGGTGATGTGACAGAAACCACAGTCCCACGATCATGCTTTGGCGGGGACATTCCCTTAGCGAAGTTCGCCTCCAAGTCGGCACTTGATGTCGTAGCTACCCCGGAGAGGGAGGGCCTGTGAGCCGAGATGCTTTCACCAATTTCTTCTATACGTTCCGGGACACCTTTTAGCGACCCTAGGGGCTCTGAGTTCCTCTTCTCATCAGGCTCGGATGTCTCAGGATTTGTCTTTTCTAAGACGGCCGAAACCGTTCCCTGGGTATTTGCAGAGGCCGAATTGGCGACTAGTTTTGTTCGTGTGTTCTCCTTAGCTTTTGAAGCTGTCTCTTCTCCGGCTTGTCGTAAAGCAAGTGTGAGAGGATCCTCTAGCAGCAGGACCCTTGATGGGAACTCTTGGATTTGGAATTGATTTGAGGGAGTGGGTTCAACGGGAAGTGAAGTCGGAACAGCAGTGATTGAGGGGTGGGTAATGTCTGACTTAGATAAGGCTGTGGGCCTGCTTGTGGACATCGAAGACTCGCTGCCAAGGCGCATTTTGAGCTCGCCGTATTCATTCCACTCCTCAATCTCTTCTAAATCCTAAACACGTTTCCGTAAGCCACAACATTGCGCTGGTTAAGATGCTCCTTGTAGGTAAAAGTTACTCACCCCAACAATCATCCCGTCCCTGACTAGCCCGGGCAGCTTTTTCCCCCTTGACCGTCTACCCCACAACCTGCGTGCTTCCTCATCAGTCGCAACATCGACGGCCCGGAAGAGGATATTGTTGGCTTTTAGGATTGTTTCCAGTCGCGAAGTTGCTGTGATTATGTGGGATGAGCCTGCAGTCAGAGAGGTATAGAGATAGAGCGGGTCGGAGTCATTGACGTAGGATTTGGTGTAGGAATCAGCCATGATTGAAACCCAAAAGTATTTCGTAATGGCCGGATACTACTATAGTTACCTAGGCACCTATACGGAAATGGAGAGAATATAAGTGAAACGGTTCTTTAGCCGATCGATCAGAGACTGCCGAATTGGAATCGCCTGCTCTTCATATTTTTCTCTTGTCGCAGCTCTTGCGGAACCTCAGGATTTACGGAAAGTCCACCTCGCTCAAAGCGCATTTCTGCCAAGCCCAATTTGTAGCGGGGTTTTAGTTAATCTGTACTTCTGTAGTTAGTGTAAACTCGTAATTAACTATTAAGGTTAAAAGATTTTCCGACCGAAAACAAGAGCCCCTTGAGCCTTCCCTTGGGATTTAACACGAGGGATATGATGCCTCTAATTGAGCTGCACGATCAACACAAGACACTGCTAGGCATCCAACACATGCCTGTGAAAGTATGTTTCTTGTATAGCTGGCCAATGGCTGGTAGGCATCTCAACTTCCGCAGTCTGATCATATCATCAGCTCTTTTGTCAGAGTTGGAAGAGGGGGGAAGAGGAGGTAACGGAAAAAGGGAGAGAGATGGAAGCCCGGCAAGATTCGTCTTGCTATGGCTAAAACTTCCGGTTTCAGCATCGATGTAATTGCACTATAATGGTTTGCCCGTCGTCACTTTGGGAGCCGTGTTCCGCAGTTGTTTGGGGACAAGTGATAGCAAACAGGGTGCGCTCATGTCCGCTGTAGCCATATCCCGCAGCAAGCGTTACCGGATGAGAACGAACGTCGAGTAAAGAGTTGTAGATTGTCTGTGCATGTTTGTGCATGGCAGTTGTATGGTTAGTATCGACGAGTGATACGATTCCTGTAAGTTAAGCCAAGTCCAGTCCATAGAGTCCGACTGGTGGCCCCGCTAGCTGACCCCTTCTAGGTATCGTTGCTATCCCTCATCGTGGCCTGTGTTCTTGTACCGTACAGAAGACCGGTTGGATCCGCAATTCCTGTCTGGCTGACACGCTGGTGTTTCCCACCGTCGTCCACGGCATCCTGCTTTCGTCTGTGAACGTGGACGGTGAGTAGGCCACTCCTTTGTGGTCCTGTCCGTTTGGCCACCCGCACCTAGTTCTACGACTGGGGCGCTACAGCATCTTCCTGTGAATTGGCCTCATCGTGGCCGGGGAGTTTGCTGGAGCATGGGACGGTGAGAACTCTACTGACTGCCTGTTCTCTGATGTTTGACAAGCATCTTTGGCCTTGGCCGTCTAGTTCTTCCGCGCCAAATAGTTTGATCACACACACGATTGCGCCGGGAATCCCGTCTCCCTCAACACGAAGTTGTTCACCTGCTAGTCCACCTGCAACTTAATGGTCGTTCTCCCCGTCGCGCAAGGACGCGACTAATAGTATCTACGTCTTCCTGTCGCTCCAACGGATGACCTTTGGAACCGCCGCTCTCTCGGGCGTCGCTTGTTGTGCTCCTGCCGCCTTCTTACTAATATCCAGGTGTGAAAGGATCCTAAATATCAACCGGAAGGCACGCTTCGGGAACGGAGAGGAAGAGGGTCCTAATGACGCCACCATTCGATCCATGGCGGAAGTCAACGCTTTGGTAGGTGTGCTCCTACGTGCTGTGGAGATTGGCGTGTTGGGCACCGCCATGTTTGCTAACCTCACCCTCAACGAGATGAACCAGCTAAACACATAACTCATGTACTCGACTTAAGCAACAGACACAAAGTAGCGCACGTCACACCCGTATCCCACGACGATTCTCCTCGGGTTAGCTAACCTGCAGCCCCGACTCGGATAACAGTCCAGTTACCCCTCGAGCACGATCACCGGCATCTCCAAGACCGTCCCGCTCTCCATCGCCGCTTCCCTCGTCCAGCAGACCGCGGCAGCCACGCGCCCGTATTTCGGCGCGACAACGTATCTTGTCAGACCTGCAAAGCGCAACCCCATCGTCATCTGGTGATTCACCTGTAGGTGCTTTGTTGCAACAGCGCGACACCTTGAAAGCGCCCACATCCGCCTATTATGGTCCACCGGAAACACGCGCTCACATTCCCCCACTGGGCCCATCGTCTACATCTCTCATGGCCGCAATTTGCCTGCTATTTTGGTCTCATTGTAACCTAGCCGTCATCGCGTAAAAGTTCGGCTGCCTTCAGCGCCCCGCGGCCTCTTCATCAAAACCGCGGCTACTGTTAGCATGAACCGCCCTATGATTTACCTGAATGTGGCGGGGGTATCTATACACCAAGATACTAAAGGACTATTGGCATCATTGACTTGGAGACAGTGTAATCTATACAGTCAACGGGCGCTTCACATTCGAAACCATCACAGAATATATGTACCTATGACTGGACAGTTTTTGAAGAATTTCGACCCTGAGAATTTTGGAAGTCGGAATCGTCACACCGATCCCACTAACTTTTCGTCTACGCTCCCGTCGGATATTTCCTAAAAACTCTGGAGCGCCGCGCCAACTGTACGGGCAATCATCAGTTGCCAATCCCTCGCCTTCCAAAATATATAGCGATATGGTAGATCGCCGTCCGGAGCTCTTCGTGCTTTGGCCACCTACCGTGGTCAACTTCCTAGCATCCCAGGATGTGCTATATGGTACTAATGAGCGGAAGGCGGGTGACACTTCAGATGTGGCCATATCTCTTGTGTATTGTTAGAATAGAAACAAACTAGAATACAGAGAAAAAAACCTGCAAACATAGTTTTTTTCTTATAACGGAACTCACGCAATCTAACCTTCCACGACGAGAAGCAGTCGGTACAACATACCGCCTTGAGACACCAAATCTCCTGGAAATATTAGACGTACCATCGAGGGTATCTTTTGACTTGTCAATGCCAACTTCCACATGTCTACCTGTTTTCTAACCTAAAGTTCTGGCTCTTTCAGTAAGCCGCTTGGTCACGGATGTGTTCTGCAAAAGGGGAACACCGCTAAATTGAAGCTACTGTCAAGGCATACCAGGCTCAGCGTGGCTTCCGCTTAGTGCAAGGACACAGTCGAATGGAGGGGGTATGGCGGAAGTCTATGTTTTGGATCCAATAACTGAACTGCCCCAGATTTGATGGAAGGGATTCGTGAACTAATCGATAATCGATGGACATATAAATCAACATGAAGAATGAGAAGATTCGTGCTGTGGCTTGCTTAATTCAACTGGGGATGCATTGCTTTTGGACCATTGATGTTCTCCCGCTGTCCACCGTCATCACCAAGACCAATCGAGTTCTAAGAGTCATCGCCAGGAGAACCCCCATACGTCGGCTAATAATATGAAGTTATTTGCTCATTGATGCCTAATTTCATAAAAATACCAGAAGGAATCGACGTTTTAGAAGACGGCTACGATTTTTCACTTGCACAACCGACTCCTGCCGGAGAATCGTTCTTCTCATATCCAGAATGTACTCGCTCACATCAAGTGCGACTTCATTGACGGTTGTTTGAGATGGTGGGCCTTAAATTTCCTGGCTCTTGTTTACGTCTACAACGACCGCTGCGTGGTCTTCGCACTCACCCCCGCCCCTTTTTTTTACAGCCGGATCCGGAAAGGTTCTTTAAGGTCGCCAACTAGATTGTGCTGTAAGGGTTGCGGCCTCATAGTGCTGATGTACGATTTATCACTTGAGCAGGGCGAAGGTAGAGAATGGCGGATGGAGCGGCCTCTGAGAGATCAGCAAGCTGGACAGGACTCTCGCAGGTCTGGCGCTCTCTGGGTGCGATGCTATGTTGCATGTTAGTGAGCTGGTGAGAGTGAAACATTGCTCACAATGCAGATTGAGACGCGGATGTCACTAGAAAGAGAGAATCTAGTCCTAGAACGAATGACTCCTCAATACCACTCTGCTGGCGGTGTTGAATCGATCCAACATGCTCAGGTTTGGGCAACAATCACTTTCCCTTCGCCCTGGGCTCTGGTCTGTTGCGCGCACGACGGCGTTATTGGTAGCCAAGCGATTTTAATCCCGCAACGGGCTGGATGCCGCAAGTTCCCAGCAGCTCTCGCGGAATACAAATGCGTAAACGTCTGTTTGACGCGGCGGTTACCCACGCAACAAGCCCTGGCAAGTTCAGCGTGGAGCGGTGCGGTGGCCTGTCTCTTTGGGAGTGTTTCTTTGATGCGCATTGAAATCAGCCATTTAGGATATACGAAGTCAACTTTTCGGTTCGTTACGGCATCGTTACCATGGACCTGGCACATGGGTATAAGTTATATATGATGAGCCAGGTTACATGTCCAGCGTTGCCCAGGACGGTGGAGCTTGTCAGCGACAGCCATGGACAATTCGAGAGGGTGACAGTGTGCGAGAATATCGACTATTTGATGGGCTGTAGCCGGAGATACGTCTTGAGGAGAGTCGATGGCTAGACAGCAGTGAGACACTAGTTGGGACTAGCTAAGGTGCAACTTGTTAACAGCACTAAGGCGATCCTATTCCGATTCTTTCGTATTGAAGCGATGAACTTGCATCGTTTCGCCTTGTCTCACCTTTTCTCGTATTGAAAGCGAAGAAACGAAGATTAGCTTGTTCCGGTATAATGTTTGGCTTCATCGCAGCCGATGAGGTGCCCAGCTCACCATCGCTGGAAAAGCCTGTGACCTTCGAGAAGCAGCGTTGGTATAAGTGCCTGGCCGACTTGAGACGCCTGTTAATTTACTCAAGTCACAATCACCATCTGCTTAATCACCGCCTGCATGCAGCAAACCTTAGTTCACGTTGCAGTTTTATTTTCGCCGCTTGCAACCTCAAGTCATTCAGCTTGACTTCCTTGGCCGGCAGGGTTCCCCAGTTTTGAGAATCTGCGACCCGCAATGGTCGTTGTTCTTAGCGCGTTTTTTAGAACAAGAGAGGAACTAGCACCGAGACACTAAGATACGACCACCAGACTGAACGGGCCTCGGTTCATAGCAGCTGCCCGGAGGAAGAAGTTTTACTTGCTGGTCATGGCATTTCTTGACTGTGGAGGGAAATAAATAGCAGGCGGCGGAGGGAATGAAGCATGTACTGACACAACTCCAGGGCAGGGCCCGCTTGTTCCTGGTTCGCGACACAGTTAGCCGTTTTGGGTAAAATCTGACGCCTCCTGACCTAGGCCATCTTAGGAAGGTTACATTGTTGCTTCTCCCCGTTTAGGCGACCTGGATTCTTGAAAGCGATTGATCAAAGTGAGCTCTCGTTCCGTCTCTTCCTTCAATCCCCACAGCCAAGACGGCCAAGTAAAGCCAAGTTCAAACAAGCAATGCTAGTGCGTGCCAGGGTCTTAACGGCGTGGCTCCACTCTGTTGGAGTTGTATCTCTCCTCAATCACGCTCTTCTCATGCCTGGGGATGGATGGCCTGTAACCGGATATCGCCTTGAATGTCATATGCATCTCCGAACTTCCGCGGACCCAAGAAGTCGAAATTGATACCCTGCGTTATCCGCTTTCCCTAGACCACACATCGACAGTTATTATTCCCGTACCTCCCCTTCGCCCCATCCACCCTATTGATGTTGCTCTCGTTTTTATACTGAAAAGGTGGATCGAAGCGACAAGGACAGGACGGAGAAATTCGCAATCATGGATGTCACCGAAGAGAAGATGGCGCATGCTTCCACACCCGAAGATGAGGGCAAAGAAGCAAGGAAGCACTTGGAGCAGCGTGCCATTCCGCCGAAGTTCCGCAAGCTGCACGATTCAGCCGTCACGTTCCAGGAGTACCAGCATTACGCGAACCTCACACGCGCCGATCAAGACCAGATGCCGAAGACGACAGCTGGGAAGAATCTGCTTTTTTATTTGATCCCCAATTTACAAAATGTAGAGACAGAGAAATACGAGTTGACCAAGGTCAACACGTCCGATGACGCACAGCGCATGAATATTACTGATGAAGAATGGATCAATGCCTCCCGGGCATTTCGCACGGCAAGCTCCGGTGCCGTCTTTTATCTCATCACAACGGATATTTTCGGGCCATTTGGCCTACCCTACGCGTTTGCAACAACTGGCTGGGGGTGAGTGAAAATCTACTTAAAGGAGACACCTATACAAAGTGATACTAATCCCGCCAAGGCCTGGCACGGCTCTCTATACAGTGTTCGGCGCCATGGCAGGCTTCTCCGGGTATTTGTTGTGGGATTGTTTTATGGGTATGCAATATACTCTTTCTCCCCTTCAATTGCAATTCTCAAGCAAGTCGAAACTTATCATTTACGTTCCAATTTCTTGTGGTAGGCGTCGATTCGTACGAGTTTCCGGTCAAGTCCTTTGGAGATCTAGGCTATCGTATATATGGATCGTGGGCCCGATACATGTTGAACGGCCTCCAGGCGATCCAGCTACTATGTAATGTCGGCGCGATTGTTATCTCGAACGGATTAGCGTTGTCGGAGGTGTCTAAATTTAAACTATGCTATGCTATCTGCTGCTTGGTGTGGGCCCTGGCGGGATTTGTGTTTGGCCAAATCAAGACATTGCAGCGATTCTCCTGGCTCGCAAACCTGTCTGTTTTCATCAACCTCCTAGTCATTTTTGTGACTATGGGAGGAGCAGCTCATTCGCCCCCGCTCTACTCCTCTGTCGCCAGCTCTGCGGGTGCTACTCTATACCCAAACCTGGTGGATCAAGTCCACAAAGGAAACCCTCCTCCTGTGATGCACAGTGGGGGCTTGCCAAATCCAGCGAGGTTTGGTGCTTCATTGAACGGTGCAATGCAAGCTGTGTATTCATACGGTGGGTCGATGATCTTTCCCGAATTTCTGGCTGAGGTCAAGCGCCCACGCGATTTCTTGAAAGGGATGTGGGGTGCACAGCTCTTCATCTACCTTGTCTACATGATGTACGGCCTCTACATGTACGGATTTCAGGGCCAGTATATTCAGAATCCGTCGTACTTAGGAATCTCCGCATATCAGGTACAGACAGCTGGGAATTCTCTAGCCATTGTGTCGGCTTTG